TGCCTACCTGATGAAAAGCGAGGGGCTGCGCTTCCCCGAGGCCTACGCCGCAGTCCGCGCCGTCAGGCCCGAAGCTAGGTGAGTGCCGGCCCCCGCCCCCCCCGGAGCCGCCCCCGCGGGTACTGACCCGGGTCGCCCCTGTCCCCGCAGGATGAACGCAGGCTTCGCGCGGCAGCTGGAGCTGTACGAGGCCATGGGGTGCCGGGTGGATGCGACCAGCGGGCTGTACAAGTGCTACCGCCTACAGCGGCTGGGCCAGCAGCACCCAGGGAAGGCTGGCCCAGCAGCACCCAGGTAAGCCCCGCCCGGAGCTGGGTGGGACTGGGGGAGCAGTGTCTGGGCAGCTGTCAGGTTGGGTGGAGGCTGGGCTCTTGCCTGCTGGGCCCTGACACTGGGGCTACCTGGCAGCAAATTGGGGGCTCCCGGGCCTGACCCCCCATCCCCACGAGCATGGAGCTGATCAGAGTTGGTGCTGGTAGCCTGGGACACCCTATCATGCTGGTGGGGTCCTCCAGGTACTGGTGAGGAGTAGGTAGTCCCCAGGTTGCTGGAGATCAGGGTTTCCTACCTGCACACAGGACAGAGTTGGGAGCAGTCCCCTCTCTGTCCCTTCTAACAGCTTTCCCTGTAGACATAGGGGACATAAGGCCAAATTCTACAGCTGGACATGCAGGGCGATTCAGGGATTCACAGCAGCGTTGCTGACCACGGAGGGCTCTGACACCTGGTGACAAGTTGCACGCAAAAGCTTCAGTAGCTGCAACACTAAATAGTTGCTTGGGCATACAAAACTTCCTCTACAGCAAGTGTCTTCTGTAGGCTGGAACAATGCCAACGATTGTTGCTGACCCAAGCCTTCTTGCTTTTAGCATGGTAAAGCTTGTCTTACATGTCTGTGTGGGGCTGCTTAGTTTTGAACTTCCTCTAAAATGGAAACAAGGTGAGGAAGGGAAGCTCTCACATGCAGAGGGGAAAGGCACAACACTTTACCTAGACACAGGAAGTGCTGGGTCTGTCCACCCAGTTCCCAAACTAGTGTTGTCTGTCGTTTTGCAGAGCTGCAGGACTTGCCCCAAGAAGTCTTTGCAATTGATCCAACCAACACTTGTCCAGCTTCAAACAATGAGGCTCTCTATAGGTGCAGAAAGTGCAGGTACATATCCTTTGTCCTCCATAGGTTGTTTTTTTTCTTTTTCAAAATAAACTGTCATAAGGAAAATGGCCTCGGGTTGGCTATTCTCAGAACAGAAAAAAAAAAAACTTGGAAACGTCCGTTTGAAAAAGAAGGTGTGACTTTCTTCTTCGTGATTTTGCTAACTGTGGCTGTATAAGAAACCAAGTGGAACTGTGGGGGACAGTTGGCTGGCTCCAGACCAGTGGTGCTCACAGTTTTGACCCTGTGGGTTAGATGAATAAGCTGGTGCATGAGCCAGATTGGCCCCATACTGCATCCCTTTGGAACTCTTGGGGAGCCCTGCATATTAGATGACATGGCATCAAGGGCTTGGTCTGGTCGACAGGCCAGAAGCTGAACATGTCAGCCATTGCTGACCTTGTTACATGGTTGTGTCCGTTGGACAAAACCCATCCCTTGCCGACAAGGGCTCCTTGTGCCCCTGTGCCTTGGTATACCATGCTGTTCCCACTAATCCTTTGTTATTTTGGATGACAGGCGGTCCCTATTTCGTAGTTCAAGCATTCTAACCCATGCTGAAGGAAGTGGGCCAGCAGCTTTTGCTCACAAGAGGATTAAAGATCCTGCTCAGCGACATCATGATGGTCAGGATAAATGTACTTCTTACTTCATTGAGCCGGTACAGTGGATGGAGCCAGCATTGTTGGGAGTGATGGAAGGGCAGGTGAGGGAGTGCTCGCTTGCTGGGCATTCTTGTTCTTGTCTGCATCCCTGACTAGATTTAAGTGTCCTAGTTTTATAGCTGTCATGCAAGGCCTTTTTCACAGTCCATGCAGCTTGAGCCACCTCTGAAGGTGATTCATTTAGGGATTAATTCTCACTTCCTACTGTTCTGGAGCTCCAAGATTAGAAGATGGTCACATTTAGCCTCCAAGTGGTGGTAAGGTGGCACTGAAGGGGGATTTTGCTTCAGGCATCTGCTATGACAATAGCAAGTTAAATTGTAGGCCACTGTTTGATAGTTTAGTTTAAGGTGAAAACATAAGCCTGGAGCAGAAGATGTGTTTCTAGAGCAGCCTCTAGAATTGTACTTTCCTCATGAGAAGTTCTTGTCTTTTGCTGCACATGGGCGTTTACTTTTTTTCACTGGTGTTAGGATTGAGGTGGGCAGATGTTGATGCTAGTAAGGCTAGTAAATCTTCATTGCGTTCTTTATCTTGCATTCTTCGTCTTTGTTTCATTCTTTTGCAGAACTGGTCTAACCCAAGTGTGTTTCCTGTGGCTCTGGCTCCCTTTCAGTCAGATGAATCCTACTGTTCCTCTTTTCCTCACAGTGATACAGCATGACTTGCCCATGCTGTTTTCTAGACCTCCTTCATCCTGTTTAGTTCTTCTGCTTACTGGTCCCTTGGCAATCATGGTAGGGTGTGTGTACCACCTCTTCCGGTACAGCTTTTGCCCCATGCAGCAGCCTTCTTGTACCTCCTCATATCTTCTCTTTTTGTATTCCAGCTCTACCTTTGGTTGTGGTTATTACAGAAGTTCTCAATCTGGCTCACTGTAGAAGTCTCTCTAGAGCAGAGATGGGCAAAGTCCAGCCCACAGTCTCCATGGCAACCCCCGCCTTGAGCTTTCACAGTCCAGATGTGGCTGGGGTCCCCATGGAGACCAGCCCCAGCCATACAGACTACTGAGAAATGGAGTCTGGCTGCCGCTAAATCGGCCATTTTGCCCACCCCTGCTTTAGAATTTGTAGGATGTAGAGCTAGATTTCTAGAAAGCTCTGCTGCTTGGGGAGCTGAAAATTCAGCACTATATTTAGTTGCTCAGTTTCCTGGAGCTAAATTTAAGATCAATGGGAGATGATGGGTATTGAACTCAGTTAGGTGCTGAGTTGTTTCATTTAGGTGATGTATAGGAGGTGAGCTCTCTGGGGTGGGGGGGTTCTGTTGTTTTGTTTTTGTTTTTTCTGTCAAGTGCTTTTATAAATATGGCCCACAAGAATTTGCCTGCTAAACAAAACAGGGAGCTGTGAAATGGTTTTCAGAAGTGGTCTGCCACTGGAGAAGGTTGAGGAATAATTCCTTTATGGCACCGAAGTAGCTTGCAGTCTTTTGAATGTGGAAGGTGACTCTGTAGTCTGGGGAGGGCTGGGTATGGATTTGAAACTTAAGAAAGTCCCAGGCTGCTGTTGAGTTGCAACTTCCTGAAGTTTAAGTGAAGCTGTGCCTTTGACCAAGCAAATGCATGTGTTTTTTGTTTTGTTTTGGTTTTTTTGCAGCTTCTGTGCCCCAAATGCACATTGAAGTTGGGCTCCTTCAATTGGCATGGAGAGCAGTGTTCTTGTGGCCGCTGGGTGACTCCTGCCTTCCAGATTCACAAAAGTCGAGTAGATGGAATACAAGCACTGCCTGTTGGTGGATTCCAGATTGTCAAAACTTGAATTCTTGGCTCTGAGGCTTGCTGCTGTCAGCGACTTCAGTGTGCTTTGAGAACAGAGGACTGTTACAGTGGGATCACCCTCAGCATCAAGTTGTGATTGCTGCTCTTTGGCAAAAGCTGATTTCACCCTCCTGGGATGCAACTGAATGACTTTTAACATTGGCTTATTGCCATTCTAGATCCTTCTTTTTTCTGTTGTTGTTAAATTCATGAGAAGATGCTGGAGCAGTTTTTTAAATGGACAGTGTCTTGTCAAACATCAATTTTTGATTTATTCTTCAGTGTTCAAGTATATATGTTCTTATTGTCTCTGTTAGAAAAATTAAACTTCTTTACACAGGAGCTATACAAATCCTTGTTTCCAATTGAGTGCTTAGTTTCAAACTGAACAGCAAAGCAGTATGCAACACTTATATTCCAGCAGAGCCAGTCTCCTAATGATAGTGAACACATGAATCAGTGAGAAAAGGGCTTTGTTAGGATGGGCTGGATGAAACTCCCTGGGTGCATGTAATTTGTAGACTGTTATGCTATATGAATTATTGAGGGGAAAAACATGTTAATAAGGTTAATTTAGAAAAAGATGTTATTTGAGACTGCAAGCTCAAGGATTAACATGCTGTTAAAATTCATCCTTTTGAGACTGAGGTCTTGTAGAATACCTGCTGGAAGATTAACCATGATTGACCTGCAGATACAGAGTAAACAATACAACATCTGAAATTGCAGCGGTGTCTTGAGGCTCCTTAGTTGAGGAAGGGGATTGCCTGGCTTTTGCCCTGGGATCAATCAGATTATAACAGTAAAGCATTGCTTCTCTAAGGCTACTCCCAAATACCCTTTCTGCCAAGAGCTTGTTTATTGAAGAATCATTAGGACCCATATGGTTAAAGGCTGCATGAAAGAGTCAGTGAACTATCTGAAAGGGAATTTGTTCTTTATTACACAGTTTCATGGCTGAAACAGGGAATTTGTAGGTAAGGAGGCAGAAATTCTTGTCTCTTATTGTGTGAGAGCTGTATCCTATCGGTTCGTCTTGCTTCCGGTTCCAGTGCTGCAAGTTTATCTAGGGCTCACTTAGATACTGCTGAACCTGGGATAGCATTTTTCGGACCTGGAAGGTAGGCTCCAGTTGCTGTAGGAAAAATGATCAGGAAGAGACAATAAAAGGCTTGCAGTGCTTCATGTTCATCTTATGCACATTCTCATTTGTAGTTATAGAAAAAGGGCAGGAAGGGACCTCAGGAGGTAATCTAGTCCAGTGGTTCTCAGCCTTTTTAGACTTGCATCATCCCTTGGAAAATTTCAACTCTTAGCTTTCACTTGCTTTTTGTCTACAGAAATATAACAACAATTCTTCTGTTGCGAAGAACTCAAAGGTTACAGCAGTTCAGAATTATCTTTAACACTGTGGATTCCTATTGGAAATTCCTGGGTTTATCTTGTGAATTATGTTTGCACACCTAATAGATCTGAAAGGTCCTCAAGGCACCCCAGTTGAGAATCGCTGATCTAGTCCAACCCCCTCCTTGCGGTATGATCATTCCTGTCTAAACCATTGTAGGCACATAGTTGTACAATATGCTCTTAAAAACTTCTAAAGATAGAGATTCCACCATTTCTCTGGGTAGCATGGTCCAGTGCATAATTGTGCTCATAGCCAGCCCGAATTTCTGTTGCTGCAATTTAAGGGTATTGCTCCTTGTAGCTGCAGAAAATAATTTATCACCAGCCTTGAGGAATTTGAAGACTTATTAAATCTTGAAGCGTGAAAGCCAAGCCCGTAATGCAGACATGTCACCTGATGGACTCTGGAAACGCATCAAGTCAGTAGCCTTGGAGACCACTAAGGAGATTGCTGGGCTCAGTACTAAGAGAAACCTAGACTGGTTTGATGAAAGTGACACAGACATCCAAGCCCTGCTTACAAAAAGATGACCACTCACCAAGCCCTTCTAGCACAGCCAGCTAGCCAAGAGAGAGAGACGGCTTACTGCCAGGCATGTAATGCCTTTCAGCGGAAACTGTGAGACATCCAAAATGAATGGTAGACTAATCTTGTGGAAATAATGCAACTATATACTGATATAGAGACACCAGAAGCTTCTACGAAGCCCTGAAATTGCATATGGCACCACCTATCTGATCCAAAGCCCACGGAGGAGCTCTGACAGCCAGACCCTACACGTTGACAAAGAGTTTGTCATGGACTGATGGTCTGAGCACTTTTAAACTCTCTTTAGTGCTGAATGCACAGTACACGAGTCTGCCATCAACTGAGTAAAGCAGCTGTCTGTTAAGGAGGAACTAAATGAGTGTCCTACACTGGAAGAAATCTTCATCGCTATCGACCAGATAAAAAGTAACAAAGCCCCTGGAATTGATGGAGTTCCACCTGAAGCCCTGAAATACGATGGTCCCACCCTACACTCCAAGCTCCATGAACTCTTTATAGTCTGCTGGGAGCAGGGGAAAATTCCACAATATCTGAGTGATGCTGTAATCGTCACGATGTACAAGAATAAAGGTGACAAGTCAGACTGTTCCAGCTACTGAGGGATCACCCTTTTGTCCATCGCTGGGAAGATTCTACCTAGAATCCTCCTCAACAGGCTGGTGCCTGCCATAGCAGAAGTAGCCTTCCTGGAGAGCCAATGTGGCTTCAGAGCAAACAGAGGCATGATAGATATGATATTTGTGCTCAGACAAATACAGGAAAAGTGCTGGGAGCAGAACAAGGGGCTGTACATCACTTCCATCGACCTTTCTAAGGCGTTTGACACCATAAGCCAAAATGGCCTCTGGAAGATTTTCAACAAGCTTGGATACCTGCCTAAGTTCCTCACCAGGATCGGGCAACTCCATGACGGTGTGGACAAGTCAAGTACAACAGCAACACTCTCTTGGGTTCTTTCCTGATCTCCAATGTAGTTAAGCAAGACTGTGTACTCACCCCTACTCTGTTCACCATTTTCTTCGCCATGATGCTGCAGCAAGCACTGGACAATCTTGGGGAAGGTGAGGTAGGTGTTTTATATCCACTTCTGGGCAGACAGAAACCTCTTCAACCTCAGATGGCTGCAGGCTTACACAAAGACCTGGCAACAGCTCATCCATTAACTTTTGTTTGCAGAGGATTGTGCCCTGGTGGCCCACACCCAACACTTTCTGCAGCATGTGATCATTTGCTTTGCTACTGTAGCGCAACTCTTCGGACTTACCATTAGCCTGAAGAAGACTGAAGTTCTTCATCAGCCAGCTCCATGCCAAGCTTATGTGCCACCAAAGATTGTAGCAGAAAGCCCCCTTTTCCTCCTGCCTGCAGTTGCTCTCCCCTCCTTGGATATGTTTTTCCTCTTCTACCTTTTCTTCCTTCCTCTTTTTTTTACTTTAAGATAAGGAATTGTGTTTTAAAATTTGTGTGTGTGCATTCTGTATCTCCCTGTGTATTTTGGTATTTTTATCTATTTGTGTGCCATGGCATTTGTAGCTTATATTTTATACTCCTCACCTTTCAACTATAAATGTGTTTAGTAACAATGTTAACAAGGGCAGGAGTCAAACTGCCACTTCCTTGTATCAGGCGGGCCCCTGAAAGAGCGAGTGAATCAGTGATTGAATGTGTAACACAGTAGCAGGCAGCAATTAACACCTGGGAAACTACAGATCAACCAAGGGAAGGAATCAATAGAAGACAATGTAGCAACCGGGACATCTCTAAACATCACTGATCAAGGGCTAGAAGCCCTGGCCTGAGTTAATCAATGCCGGGGACCAACTTTCGGGCTGAATATCTCCAGATCGACCACTCCCAGAGCCCTATTCAAAATTCATCAACGGACTCCCAAACCTGCACGTACATGTGGACGACCCCTGGGGCTGACAGATGCCATCCAGTAGCCACCGAGGGGGAAGTCCCATGAGGGTCAATGACCCCTGGATTGGGCAAACCTGAAAACTGGGGAGTCACCAAAGGCTGCCAAGGACAGATAAAAAGCAGTGAAAAGTGACCCTCAGCGGCGCCCTCTTGATCTCCAACTTGACCAGCACCCGACCTGTCCATCCAGGACCAACCGGCAACCCCCTTCTGGAAGATAACACCACGCTGGAAGAAGCCTCAACGGCAGACTCCAGCACCTGTGGGATAGGTATACCTGACTCTTGTAGCTTGCTACTGTGTGTATGTGCATGTGCGTGTGTGTGTGTGTGGACCAGCCCCAAGGTTTATGATTTAACTTCATTACAGTGTTTCAGTCTGCCTAATAAACCAGAATTTTAAAGATCCCAAGTTGGACATTTGTAGCCAACAAGATGGCTATCAAAGGAACTGAGCTAAATGCTGTCAAGCAGTTTACCTACCTGGGGAGTGTCATCTCATACGATGCCACGATTGACAAGGAGGTAGACAACAGACTTTCAAAAGTTAGCAGTGCCTTTGGCAGACTCTACAAGCGGGTCTGGAATAGTCACAGCCTGCGGGCACAGACCAAAGTCAAAGAGTACAGAGCTGTTATCTTTACCCTACTATCTGATGCTGAGTCATGGGTCTTATACTGCTGCCATGTACACCTCCTTGAGCGCTTCCATCAGTGCTGACTCTGTACCATTCTCAAGATCCACTGGCTGGATTGTCACCAGCGTAGAGGTGCTACTAACAGTCAATACCAATATATAGGCAGTTGTTCTGCAGACAGTTGCAGTGGGCATGCCACTTGGCCTGGATGGATGACAGCTGCCTACCAGAGACTGTGCTGTACGGGGAACTGACGATGGGGAAACACGACAGAGGGGCCCCATGCAAGCACTTCAAGGACACTGAAGAGGTCCTTTTCTGCCTGTGGTATTGATCACAAACTGTGGGAAACAGGCTGCAGATTGTGATGCCTGGCAGCTCCAAACCAAATAGGCAATGGCCTTCTTTGAATGTCAGTGCAGAGCCAACATCAAGGAGTAGGAGGAAAGATACACCCTCATCTAGCAGCTATCAGCCATACACATTTAACCATTGTAGCAGGATATGCCTCTGCAATTGGACTGATTAGTCACCAGCGGGCCTGAAACCAGCATGGCCCATGGTCCCAGCATGGGACCTTCCTAACATCATAGTCTGCAAAGAACCACCAAGACAAAGTCGTTTCCTGCTCTACTTTTCTCAAGACTAAATAATCTCAATTCTTTCAACCTCTCCTTGTAAACCATGTTCCAAGGATTCTTATTTTTGTTTCCCTCTGGTGGACTCTTTCTAATTTGTCCATGTCTGTCTTGAACCATGGTCCCTGAAACTGGATGCAGTACTCCAGGTGAGGACTTACCAGCGCAGAACAGAATGATAGAATCACTTCCCTTGACTTTAAGGTGATGTTTCTATTAATACAACCCAGTTTGCTGTTGGCTTTTTTTTATGCAACAAGATCATGCTGTTGGTTCATATTCATTATGATCTACTCACTGTAACCCTCATGTCCTTTTCTTCAGTACCACGGTCTCACCAGTCATTCCCCAGTCTATATTTGGGCATGCAATTGTTTATCCCAAATGTAGGACTTCACACTTGCTCTTAGTGAATTTCATTTGAAAAATTTTGGACAATTTCTCTTGTTTCTCAAGGTCATCCTGAATCCTAATTTCACCCTCCACAGTCTGCAACTCCACCAAGGTTGGTGTCATCTACCAACTTAAGTGTACGTACAGTCAGTGCCTTCCTCCAAGTCATTCATAAAAATATTTAGTCATGGACTGAGGACAGAGTCCTGGGGGACCCTGCTCGGTATCTCTTCTCAGTTAATTTGGAGGGTTCTGATTTGACTCAGAGAGATTAAAAGGTCTCCTGATTCGATTCGGATTCGGAGGTTTGGCCGCTGAATCTCAGCTGAATCAAATCAGCAACCAAAGCTTCGCACAGCCCTATTAAATGCATGCATCTGCACAGCTGCAGCATGCACGTGGCCTATCCTGGCAGCTTGGAGAACAGTGGTAAGTCTGTTGGGGGGGGAGGGAAGGGGTTTGGGGAGACAGATCAAGGCCCCCACGGTGAGGGAGGGAGTGGGGCTGGGGCAGGTGCTGCTCAGCTGGGGTGTTCACACCACTGACTGGCAGATAATGCTTAGGGATCATTAAAGCACAATTGATCCTTAAATGGAACATGAAATATGAATACAGACAACTCAAGTGTCCTAAAATCAAAGTCTAACTTTATTAGTACAAGTATTATCTTAGCAGTTTCTCTATTCAGAGAGAGAAAAACAGTACAATGATCTTGCCCAATCCCAGATGTTACTTTGCTTCACAGAAAAGATGGCCACTTGGTTCCTGAAGCAAAGGGTGCGTCGTTGGCTGAGATGATCCAGACAGGTGTTGAAAGGCATGGGCATGGGAAGGGGGTGGCTCCCACCATACGCCCAGGGGAGGTATAGGGGTGTGTGCCCGTTGGATCTATGTGCAGGGCGAGGGCAGCCTGTTGTGGGCTGGGGTCAGCTCCAGGCTCTCCCCATTGGGAGGGCTGGGCCAGGGCTGTACTTGGGTCAGGCGGTGGCAGCACTGGGAGTGGGGGCTGACAAATTTTGGGTGGCTGTAGTCCCTTGTAACCCCCCACCCCAATGCTGCCACCTGCCCTTACCCCATGCAGAGATCCAGGGGATGTGCCCCCCCATGCCTCCCCCAAGCACTCAGCAGGGGCTGCCCGTGCCTGCTTGCAGCACTGTCCTGTGCCCTGCTCCTGCCCCAACCCCATTTCCTCCTTCACTGCAGGGGCCTCGATCTGCCTGCTCCCCTTCCTTCCCCGCAACAGACTTCCCAGAGCCAGATACTGCTCTCCAAGGTGCTGGGTTTGCATATCAGCAATCTGATTGGTATCAGCCAATATGGCTCATTAATAGTCAGCCATTGGTATTAGTCCAAAAAATCTCTATTGGCGCACCCCTATTAACAGTACTTTCATTTCCTTAGCTTAGTAAATGAGAATGTCATGGGAAAATGCTAAAAGCCTTGCTAAAGCCAAGGTATAATCCCATCCACAGCTCTCCCCCAGTCCACAAAGCCTGTCACCTAGTCATAGTAACAAATCATGCCTGACCAACCTGATTTCCTCTTGATGAATCCATGTTGTCTGTTCCTGATCACCTTGTTCTCCTCCCCCCTTTGCTTGGTAATAGATTTCTTGATCACCTGCTCCATGGTTTTTCCAGGTATTGAGAGTCAAGACTGACTGATCTGCACTTCTTTCTCTTCCCCCATCTTAAAGATAGTTATTATATTTTCCCTTTTCCAGTCATCTAGGACCTCAAATGTATCATTGAGAACTAAGATGATAGAGCTAATGGCTCTGAAATTACCTCAGCCAATTCTTTCAGTACTCTGCATTGCATCTAGTCTTGCTGAATGTTTTTAGGTGGTCTCCAACCACCCATTCTTCCACTACTCTAGGCTGCTAGTCTCCTAACATCTCCTTACTACCAGATGCATTTGTCATCTGGTAGCTTTCCTTACTGGTGAAGAGAAATAAAAAGACATTAGGATATTTCAGCCTTCTCTGCATTATCCACTATTAAAACACTCTGCATTTAGTAAAGGATCTATACTTTTCCTGGCCTTCCTTTTTAGTTCTGATGTGGAAGGCAAAAACGAACCAAAAAAAAAAAAAAATGTTCCTTGCTAGCTGTATTTCAGTGTACACTTTGGCTTTCAGATTTTCTTCCTCATGCAACTCTTATACTAGGGCTGTGCAAAGCTTCAGCAGCCAATTTGATTCAGAGGAGATTTGGCCCAAAAGGAGGGAGTGGGGCTGGGACAAGCTACCCAGCTGGGGAGGGGGGCATGGGATGTGGGTACAGCAGCGCTGGGAGCAGGCTGCTATGCCCTGCTGCCGCTTGCCCAACTGGGGCAGGTTGGGGGTGATGCAGGCTCTGCTCGCTCTGGGCAGAAGGGAGCAAGTGGCAGCAGGGCATAGCCCGCTGCTTGCCCAGCCAGGGTGGGGAGATGTGGGTGCTGCTACCGCTTGCCCAGCCAGGCCAGGGGGTGGTGGGACGCTGATGACTGCAACTCATGCTAAGCTCAGGCCTACTCACAAGAGTTAAATTACAGAATACTGATGCTGACTTTATAATGCAAGAAGATGTGAGTTCATAGCTAGGCTAGCTGAGAAGAAATAATGAAGTATTTCTTCCAGCTTATCTTGCTACATACAGGATGATTTCAGGCAGGCTCCTAGTTGTCCGGTGTGTAACCATATGAAATGTCTATCTTTGATTAATTAGTATGGTAAATATTTCTTTTGCAACTAAGTCACGTTTACATGCAGGCAAAGACATTCTCCATATGCAATTGATATCTCCTCCTGATTTAGTCCAAAG